GGCATGAAAACACAGGAAATATACACAGATTGAAAATAAATGAAAAATCAAATTACACATGAATGACATGGATAATAACATTATTTCAAACGCTGACACAAAATCTTTCAATCTTAATTTAGATGCCATTGACGACCCGAATGTGAACTACACAACAGCGGTGGTTGAGGCAGATGACTCCGGCTCAGAGCAGGTTCCAGTGGAGAGCTCAGACATGGTTGGTCAGCAGCATGTTGCCTTGGTAACGCAGGAGGATGGAACACAACAGCAGGTAATGGTTTGCAGTGACATCACAAATAATAAATACATTTCATACTGTTCAAAGAATTGAAGGCCTCTCTCAGTATAGTGTACGCCAAGTTCACACTCACGCACTTGGCAAGTTCAATTTAGGAGTCCAAACTCCCAATGGGGTGACATGCAGTCCGAGGATACACCCATTAACTGCCATATATCTGTAATATACATATTAAAAAATAAAATACAATTTGATAGAGACCACACAACCTCTGTTCATTTTCATTCATATATATATATATATATATACTGTATATATATTATTTATTTTATTTATTTATTTAATTGAAATGTGGTGATGGCATGTACTTTCCAATAAAAAGGGAATCTAACTTAACCTTCAACAACAAATATTACATTTCAACACTACAGACATCAAAGCCAGCAGTAAATTACCAAAGTGCTGGCTGAGATAATATTGTTCTCCCCAGGATGACAATAGATGTTTCATCACAAGCCCCAGCGGCCCTACTCTAGGCTGCATCTGTAATTGTTCTATAATGGTCCCATGTTTCCTAATAGTGGTGTCTTGTGCCTCATGTCTATTATGAATTTTTGGGTTAAAACAAAAAAAGGAATAAGGCACTAATAATACTAAATATAACTGAAGACAAAATCTCAAAACAAAAATGTGACCATGTTGTTCCAAAAAGGTGCCTATATCTGTATTATATTGTGTCTAACAACAGGTCAGTATCTCTGAAGCAGACTTACAAGCCATGGGTGGCACAATCACCATGGTAACCCAAGAAGGCACAACCATAACCATCCCAGCCCACGAACTGACAACGCAAGGTGCTCACTCGGTTACCATGGTAACAACAGACGGCTCAGATGAACAGGTAAACAACTGCTTGACTTCTGTGGAGACTGTACAAAATGTAGGAATTATGTCTGTTTTTCTCAGTTTAGAGGGTTTTTGATGACATTTAACTATTGACTTAAACCAATGTACCTCATAAGACCAGACAAACAGCCACACCGCAACAGTGTTTTTCAGGTGCCTGTCAATTTCTAGGCTTATTGTTGGACATATAATTGTCTATGCTACACTCTGTTAGACCTCCATTTTGGCAAAAATTGTAGTCACAAATTGATTTGTAACCCAAACACCAAAGCAGTTGGTTGATTTGAGTATAATGTCTCTGTCCCCCTTAGGTGGCCATCATGACACCTGACATGACCTCGTTCCAAACTGTGGAGGAGGCAGGCTACAGCCAAGGACAGGATGACATTCATCCTGTCACGTTACTGGCCACCTCCAACGGCACTCACATTGCTGTGCAGGTTGGTAGAACGACACCATAGGAGTGAATAGACTGGTGGGGTGAGTTCCACTTTGTTTAGTTCAATTAATGACGAAGAAGACTGGGTACTGGGAGTATTGATTCTACAGAGTATGCTGCATTTGTGTCTTTTGTTTTTGATGAAAACTGAACTCAGTGGTCTGTTGTTTATATGATACTGACAGGAGTTTAATGTGATACTGACAGGAGTTTCAGTCAGGACTAAAGGGTACTTGAGTTAGTCCCCCATGTAATCACTCCACAGATCACACCCTGTTGCTATTTGCTTTAACGCTTAACTAAAATCATGGGTAGGTGGGGTTAAGCTCAGGGGGTGTAGGTGTGTCTCGGCCTTCCTGCTGGTGCATTTGATTAGGGATCAAACTAAACTGAAACTTCACAACCACAGGATGTATGAATTTATATGTAATCCACTCTTTCTGAGAAAGGAGGAACCAATGTTCTATTTATAGTGATTTACAGTTGTGGTTTTATTTAATTTTGCTTTGACACCTGAACAAAAGGTTCTCACCAAAAGCAGAAGGAAATTAGTGGAATTTTCCGTACATTAGAGTCAACGTTTTCCATTGGTGGGGTGACCAGGTGATTATGTCATGACAAACACTCATTGTCCCTACATCAAACAGATTTACAACATGAAAGACAATGTTTTATCTATTCAAAAAATTTGCTTTAACTGCATGTTATATTGTTATGTTGAATTTTCACAATATATTAACTATTTAGGCCTAAAATCCCTGAGGCACTATGATCACATCAAAGGTTGCAGGTCTGATGACTGACCTTAATATATCCTGAAAAGCATTGTTTTCATTTACCCCCTTTCTGCCCCCTCTGTCATGGTAATTACAAAGCAAACACTCTTTTTCTACCCTTTATCACCGTGTGACAGTCATCAATGAAATTCAGTAGTCTTTAACACATTCAGTCACGGTCAGAGGAGGTATTGTCCTTCAAAGGGGTGGCAGAGTAAATGGATTAAATCAGTAGTACAGATAAATTACCAGTGATTAGCAGTATGTCATTCAATGTTTGTATCATGCACACTGTTTTCTTTTTCTCTGTAGCTCAGTGATCAGCCTTCGCTGGAGGAAGCCATAAGAATAGCATCAAGAATACAACAAGGAGAGTCGCCGGGCCTGGATGATTGATGGATTCATTATGGACTATGATTTAGGATCAAAACCATCTCAATTGGACTACATCAACGAGAGAAATCGAGTCTTCCTCCATGGTTTTTTTCCACAAAAGAACTTAGAACTTTTATGTGTACATAGAATTTTGATAACTGGAGTTACGCTATGCTATTTTGTCCCTCAGCCAAAAAGATGGGAGAAGGGAAAAATGCTTTCTAATGTTTATGGTGCACAGTGCACAGTGCAGTGTACAGCTAATGCTATTTCTAATAAAAAAGATTGTGTGATTAATTGACTATGCTTGATTTTGAACACCTGATTCCGATTAAACTGTTCAACATCCCCTTTGCTCAGCTGTTAAGGTAAAAATTAAAACACATACAAAAATGTGAAATATATATTAGAGATTCAGTTAAGGGTTATGTAACATTTTAAAACAGGTATACTAGTATTACTAGTATGTGAGCAAAATTTGTAGTAGTTTAGACAAAAAGGAATAATTATACAAACAACAACTAATGACAATATCAACAAAATACAGAAATTGTCAAGATCTGTGGAGTAGATGAGCATTGTGAAAACAGAACCTTACAGATGTAGATGACTTACACAGGAGAGATATTCAATTTCTCAATTTTCCACCATGAATTGGAACGTGTGTTTTTAAAGTTCCCCTTAGACTTAAATAATGGTTAAGACTAATAAATAAATTTACTTAACTGTACTTCAGTATAGTTTGGTTGTACCTTCCACTTTAAATTGGTTGTTTCCATATTATGCTTCTAGTTGCTTTTCTGAGGCAAAACTTGTACTTTTTACTCCACTATATTTGACAGCTCTAGGTAATGACAGTAATTTCTTTTTTTTTAGTAATTTTTTATTGCTTTTATTTCATGGTTTAAAAATACACATGTAGGTGCAGCAAGACATAGTATATCTAGACACATATCCGCATATATATGTCTTGTGCCCTTGTAACAGCGATTCCATTATTTACTGAACTTCTTCTGCCCTGTTTATTTGGTTGCATTGCTACTTTTACTTAAAGTTAGATCAGAATTCTTCATCCATCTGAAAATGATTAGATTTGAAATAGTTAAGATGATTTGACATTAATGTGATTGTAAGATGCTGTAGATGAACATGGGGGGGGGGGGCGGGGGTGCGGGGGGTGGTGGGGGGGGGGGGGGGGTAAGTAAGAGATGTAATTAATTATTTAGTTATTGGTTTGAATCATAGCCGGATGAACTTCTGAGGGGCCCTGGAGCAAAAATTTGTTGTTGGGCCCCCAGTGTACATGGCTGTCTGGTTATTTCCCCAGACACCCACAAACCTGCCAGTAGTCTAGAAATAACTTGACTATTTATTTTATTTATTTAAACTTTATTTATTCACGTGACTAGTTTATTAATCGATTAGTTGATTGACAGAATATTAATTAGCATCAATGTTGATAAATGAGTAATTATTTAAATAATTTTTTATTATTGCCCAAAATTCTCTGGTACCAGATATCAGATTTCAATGATGGTAAACTTGACATGATGGTGTTTTGAACATGTTCACTTGGGCTTCAGGGAATATTATTTTATTCACTGAACAATTGAACAATTGCCAGGCTTAATGATAAATAAAGTAATTGATTGCAGCATTACACAATGGAATAATCCTATCTTGCCTAGGGTTTTCTGTGTGTCTAATGTCTTGACAGAAAAAACTAAACAATTTCATAAAACAAAACTTTACATCAAATGAGCAAAAAAATCTAAACTAAATCAATTCAGGTCTTGACACTGGATTTTGGCTTTGGAGGGTGGAGAACCCATCAGAGTTTACATTGTTACTGATTAAATATAGAAATAAATTGGAGCAAACCTGAACGTAGTGCAGTTTTTACTATGATTTTGATGTGCTGGTTGGGCATTTTAACCACTGTAGACCGTTTTTTATTACTAGAAGACATGGTTAGTTGTAATTTGTCTTGTGTAAACTGAGCGGAATGAGGTTTCACTCCGGTTTTGACTTTCATCTTTTTATCTATCGTTGCTGCTTTGATCGTACCGTCTCAATAATAGACGCATTGTCTGGAAGGTAATTGTGTGACTCCAGTGTTCGCGCCAGATTGTTGCTGTGCCACCGATGACGTAACGCCTCCTAAACGCTCCCTGGAACGCCCATCTTTCAAAATTTCGAAACGGATTCTGATTGGCCGCCCCAAGCCATGTGACCAACGGTCGCGGGAAGTCCTTTGCCACGCGCGTGATAGGAAGAGACCAGTTCTTGACTCATTCAAACTCTTTTGTAAACATTGGTTTGGTTTTATTGTGGAAAGACGCATTTCTGTCTCGGCAAGCAATCGGGAAGATAGTGACGGATACCGATACTCGAGTGGACCGGGTAGTTGTGGTGTTTGTTTTTAGTTTAACGCCGACTTCGGACGTTACTATTACGTTGAATACAAGGTAACTCCGGGGCCATTTCTCTGCGCTGGATGGGCGTGAAGGAGTTAGCAAACACGTTAACTTTTTCTTGGATGGTAACGGAAAATTAAGCATTTCTCAATCGTTTTTGGACACTTTTTGAACCCGTACCTTTCTTTTGAGGTAGTTAAAGGTTTTTTTTTTTTTTACGAGAAACGCCACTGCAACAGTAGCGGGGGTCCAACCGCGTGATTTTCCCGTCGACGAAGCCGGGGTTTAAATCCTGAAAATGTCGAGCTACAGTCGCCATCGGCACGGTTCCCCGTCCCCGAAAACTCGGCCGATTCGTCAAAAATTACAGTTCACGTGCAGCGACGGGGAGGATGACCCCATAGAGGACGTTAATAATAGCACCGGGGGAGAGTCTGGATTCACGGAGATGGATTCCCCGATGCCAATGCGAAGGGACACAACCGACAAACGGCTGGATGGGAGCAGCAGCCCCCTGAACCAGTCCGGCGGGGACGACGACGTTGAGCTGTGGGACGAGGAGAGCTTCGGTTCACCGTCTCACCTGCGGTCCCCGAGCAGTGTTATCGTTGCCAACTGTTCACCGTCACCGAGGAAAAGTTCTCGGCTGTACGGAGGGTCGCCGGAGCGGTCCTATGTCCAGGAAGACGGGGAAGGATCCAGCTCCCCGATCCCAGACTGCCCCGACACACCTCCGCATAAAACCTTCAGAAAACTCCGGCTTTTTGACACACCGCACACACCAAAGGTTAGCACTCGTCTATGGATAACTTAAATAAATGTTAGATATTTCTGAAAAAGCACCTTCTTCGAGATTAGGGGCAGAATTTACACATTTTTTTGCAAGGGCCTCAGATCACATAAGCAGACTTTGGATCTGCTCATGCGATCTTGAAGAAAAACACACTTCACGGAATATCTTTTGTTCTGTTTCTTCTCAATGTCTCAAATTTTAACTTTATAAGTTTGCACCATTGAAACATTGAGCTGGCTGCTCTATGGATCTTGTCAGGTGTTAGTTTGGAAAGAAAATCAGCGAAAATAAGCAACACCAGGCTTAAACAAACAAACCAGTTCAATTTTTTGAATTCCAGAGGATACTTTTGCTGTGTCAGTTAACGACCCAGTGACCCACTTAATGTACAACTGTACTTATTGCATAATGCTTTCACTGTAGTCAGCCAGCCAGATGATTTGGGAACCTGGAATTTTATGTCTGGGCATGTCTAACAGTGATTACTGTATTACACAACACTGCCTTTTAAACACCTAATTTTAAACCCAGATATCCACAATACTTTTTTTCAGAACCAGCAGCCATATAGTGTTTGTCAACCCAGCTTATTTCACACACTTAATTGAGTAGTCTCCTTTTTAAATGTTAAGTTTGTGTTTGTCCCCGCAGCTGCTCTCAAATTAACAAGGCTCTAAATCTGTCTTTTTCAGAGTTTGTTGTCCAGAGCAAGGGGCTCCGGCCCAGGATCCTCCAGCAGGAGAGTTGCCCTGTTCAAGAATGTGGAGCCTTCAGGAAAGTCAATCACAGACAGCAGCAGGAGACAGCAGACACCTCTGGTCAACTTTAACCCCTTCACCCCCGACTCCCTCCTCATCCAGTCTGCCACGCAGCAGAGAAACAACAGGAAGCGGGCACACTGGAATGAGTATGTTGCTCAGATGTTTTCTAAGACTGAAACTGTTTTGCTAGAAATAACTTCATCCTTATGCCTGTGTTGCACCTGAAAAGACCTGCATACTGTAGTGCTTTACCAAATTTGCTGCTGGAGTAGACAAGCTGCAGTCAATATTTTGGTTACATATTTTCCACCCTGATCAGTTGGTGTATGATAACATTAAATCTTTGTTATTGCAGTAATGAAGAAGCGGTTAATCACTTGTGTGAAGAGCAGTGTTGAACACCTGTAGCTGCTGGCTTGTACACAGATCAAACCCATTGTTATATTAACCAGATACGTTAAAGCCGTTGACTAAGGCCAGGGGTTTTGGCTGGGAACCAAGACCTCATGGTTATTGGTGAACTCTGCCATGTGCTTGTGAAGCACCCAGTGCTGCCCCCTGCTGTACAGAATGCTAAGCACCGTCCACTATTGTGTTTGATCTTTCAGCTCTTGTGGAGAAGACATGGAGGCAAGTGACGGTGAAGGAGAAGAGGAAATCCTCCCACCATCCAAGGTAATAAATGTTTATATGATTAGCATTAGTTACATAAAATGATACACTTACACAGTCAAATAGTTGGTTTATTTCTTTTCATTTCAATTTCATCAGAAATTTCATCTCAAACTTGGTTTTAGGGTTTCAACTTTTTTTTATTATTATTTTTGTGTAATCAAATAGCTGAGAAATAACAGAAAACAATGAAAAATACTTCTAAAGCTCAAGGGGATTTCTTAAAATTACTATTTTTGGTCGACCAGCTGTCTAAAACACAAAGCTGTTCCAGTTACAACAATTTAAAACCAATTAAAGCAGGAAATAGAAAATATTATTTACTTTTGATCATTATCAAAATAGTTTTTTTTATTTCAGAAGACTAAACTATACTATTAGTTTCAGCTTTACTTTGTTTTGTATTCTTGTAAAAAGCAATTAATGTAAATATACCACAAAAGCACAAGTGAATGCACTGAGTACATATATATTGACTAAACATCACAACAAATTAGTTTAAATCAAATGCAAGAATTTTAAAATATACCACACAGTCAGTGGAAACATTTGGCAATAGTTGGTGTAGCTGTAAGGACAACATGTAGAAACAAAGTCACTTCTCTAAATCATTTCATGTGTAAATTGACAAAACCAGTTCACTAAGGAAATCTGTTGGTTTCAATGGTTATGCTAATTGTCCCTTGGAAAGCAACTGAAAAATGTGCTTAATTTTGTGACTGGGGCTTGTTGGAAAAATTAGATTTACAAAAACATTTGAATGTTAATAAATATGTTATGTTAATATGCTTCTTCTGCCTGCAGAGAATCACCATGATGGAAAGCAACATGATGTCCCGGTACGCCTCAGAGTTCCTCGAGCTGGAGAAGATTGGCTGCGGCGAGTTTGGTGCTGTGTTCAAGTGTGTGAAGAGACTAGATGGCTGCATCTATGCCATCAAGAGGTCAAAGAAACCTTTGGCAGGATCAGTAGATGAGTAAGTTGGATTCATTACAAGCTGAAAAACTTTTACAATGATTGTGCCTTGATTGTCCAAAGTGACAACATTTTACAAGGAAGATGCTAAAGGTAAAATAATTGTGTCATAAACTTTAATGACATGTAATCCTTTAAACTACCAGCATTTCAACTGTATGTTACAAGTCATTTTGTGGACATGCAGATTTTAACAAGAATTTCCCTCTCAGCCCCTGTCCTGTACATAATGCACCAAGTCATTCACAAATTCCTTTGTATAAGCCGTTCACCATAAACACTGGAGGTACTTTTTTCCCCCTTCAGTTTAACTATAAAACTTGCCTCAGACATGCCTTAATTAAAACAATCTGTTCCCCTCCTCCACAGGCAGAATGCATTACGGGAGGTGTATGCCCACGCCGTGTTGGGCCAGCATCCCCATGTGGTGCGTTACTACTCAGCCTGGGCCGAGGACGACCACATGCTCATCCAGAACGAGTACTGCAACGGTGGCACGCTGTCAGATGTCATCGCCGAGAACTACAGACGGCTCAGCTACCTGTCGGAGCTGGAGCTGAAAGACCTGCTACTACAAGTCACACGAGGACTCAAATATATCCACTCTACATCTTTGGTACACATGGACATCAAGCCCAGTGAGTACATCACAATGTAATATTATGCTTACTGTAGTAGTCATAAATGTGGGTAGATTGGTACAGGAGTTAGCAAGATATTTGCCAGCCTTGATTTTAGACTTTAAATAAAAGGCATTTAAAGGAATTTAAGTCTTGAAATTAATTTCAAAGGTTTTAAATATGCTTTCCAACCTGATGCAGCCAGTAAAGTTACTTATAGAAATGTTTTTGTATGTGAATTTATCTAAAACTGGGAGGAAAATCTCCAGCACTGTTGTTCAAAATTCATAAGGAACCATAAACAAATATTTTTCATGAATTGGTTAAACTTTCCATCTATTTTCTGCTGCATGTCCAGATCCAGGTTGTGTTTAATGTTATTATTGGGAATTACTTTTATATACTGCTGAGAAGTAATAACAAAAATGTGACAAATGTCAATAAATTAATGGATTTGATAGATGATTCTAGGTCATCCCCACTAGTTTTTGATATCTTGGGCGGTGTGACCATTAAATGATTATTAAATCAAATTCTTGTTAATTAAGTTTAATTTTGTGAAGAAACCAGAGTCATAGTCTTAACATCAATGTTTTCTGGTCAGAAACTAATAGAGGGGTTTAATATCTTTTTCTTAGGCAACATCTTCATTTCACGGAAATCTGTAGCGAGCTGTGATGAATGTGATGAAGACGACGGTCTGACCACCAGTGTTGTCTACAAAATTGGTAAGATGCTTCCACAGTTAATGTATGATGACCTCCTGCATTTGAAAGTTATATCTTTATATTATTTATCCATTTTATTTTACTGATATTTTATATTTGTACTAAGCGTTGGTGCTCGTCTTCACATCTAAAATCTTCTCTGTATGTGTTTCTTCTTTAGGTGACCTTGGACATGTGACAAGAGTTAACAATCCACAGGTGGAGGAGGGTGACAGCAGGTACCTGGCTAATGAAGTTTTACAAGAGGTTTGTAATCCAACTCTAAAACCACTTATAATTTTGAACCACTACAGCTTCAAACAACTTCCCTAACTTCTTGTTTTTATTTTCTCTCCAGGACTACAGTAACTTGACGAAGGCAGACATCTTTGCTCTGGCTCTGACTGTTGTTAGCGCCTCGGGAGCCGAGCCTCTTCCAACAAATGGAGACAAGTGGCATGAGATCCGACAGGGAAAACTGCCCGCCATCCCTCAAGTGCTTTCTCCAGAGTTTCTCAATCTCCTCAAGGTAACGGTCAACACTGTGTTTGTCTTTGTTTTGAATAAGTGAAGGTTTGTGAGACCTGGAGACACTGTTACAGCCTTTTATAGACTGTTTTCAGACAAAATAGGTTATTTGAATAAGTCAACTTGGGTTTTTGGTTATTTACCAACCAATTCATTTAGAAAATAATCTACAAATTATTCGAGCCAAGTTCATTTCAGCCCTAAACAGAATTTCTTACTGATAATTTGCACTCAAATGCACCCTGCCTTGATTTCTATTGGTCTTTGTGCTTTTCTTGTGCTTTTCTTTTTGTGACCAAATCTTATATTTTTCCTTGTATTTCAGCTGATGATCCACCCTGACCCAACCAGACGACCATCAACTTCTGACCTCATCAAACACCCGGTGCTCCTCACTGCTGCCCGAATGAGTGCTGATCAGCTACGAGTTGAACTCAACGCTGAGAAGTTCAAAAACGCCCTGCTACAAAAGTAAGTACACAGCAGCAGGAAACTCAATATCTTTGGGTTGTGGACTGTTGGTCAAACAAAGACATTTCAATTCATTATCATGGCTGCAGACCAAACAAGTAATCAGGAAAATAATTGACGGATTAATCTACAGTGAAATTTAATTTAGTTTTACCTCTACTGAATATAAATTAAAACAATGAAAATATGCAGCCTTAATTCTCGCCTCCTGGTCTCATGAAGGCTAAACAGTGTGTCTTTGTTTTCCTCAGGGAGCTGAAGAAGGCCCAGCTGGCCAGAGCTGCAGCAGAGGAGAAGGTTTTGTCCACCGACAGGATCCTGACCCGCTCCACAGTCCAGTCCAACCCCAGAACCTCCAGAATCATCGGAAAGAAGATGAATCGGTCGGTCAGCCTCACCATATACTGAGACTTTGCTGCACTGTGACAGGAAGTTAGCTCACGGACCTTTACTCAGACCTGTTCAGTTGACATGGTCTCCCGGTTTTCTTTTGGAGGAGAATCCTGTCAGTCGTGGTCTTGGGCTCTTCAGCCCAGTTGAAACTCTAGACTGTTGCCACAACGAACTTGAACTCATCTCGATAGACTCTCATTGCCAACATAGTTCAGCCCTTTCACTGATGGGACTTTACTTTGGGAAAAAAAAGCTCATTCCTCAAAGGTAGTTACTGTACCTTTACACTCTGTCATTCCTTAAGTTTGCATAGACGTCAGGCTCTCTCTCTGTCTCTGTCCTTGCACTTCCCTCGACAAAGCCGAAGCCTGTTGGCAGCAGATCAAAGCTGCAGTGAAGCTCTCTTCAGTGTGAATGTACTTGCCGTCGCCGTGTGCACCTTACTGCCTGTCAAACGCCTGATGCTGGGTCTGACGACTGACGATTTCTGTGTTTGTAATGGAGCACTTTGGAGGCAACATGTGGAACTTGCCACAATTTTTTTTTTTTAAAGAAAAAAGATAAAACCTGCTGCTATTGATGTTTTATATGTATCAGGGTTTGGTCGGTTTCAGGTTGGATCGTTCTAGAGGTCATTGGCTCTTATTTTCAAGTAGCAGAGGAGTCCACCCCCCATTTAATGTGCTTTATTTTTTTTGGATGGAAAACAACTCTTGCCATTTGAGGAAAATCATCCAGCTTGTTTAAAGTCACCAAAACCAGTGAGCTAACTCATTATGTGTGAGGGTTGAATGGATCCATGGTGATTTCCCTGTTGATTGGTGCTGCCAACCCTGCCTGTAGCATTAGAACAATCATCGTCCTGTTCTTTGGATTCTCATGTGTTCTGTTTTTTGTTTTTTATTTCTCTTTCTCCTTTCCATGAGGCTCGTCTTCTGTTAGAAAAGTATTCATCATCTCTTTGTTCTTGTAACCTCTAACACAAAAAACCTTTTCTGTTGTAACGTGTAAATATGTTCTTTTAATAAATTCTCACCTTCTACACTTTGTTTTGTTCAGTGTGATTAGTGTTTTTTGGTGTGGAAGGGTCTTCCCTTCACAAATACTGTGAATCTGTCAGATTATAGTATTAATACAGCTCTCGGCACACATCTGAAACATCCGTCATTCCACCTGCATTATTAAAACACTTAAATTGCACTCACAGAATTGAAATAAGCTGGTAATTACTAATATATCAAATATAATAAAACAAGAGTACCAAACAGTTCCTGTTTCTCAAATGTGACTTTTCTCTGTTAAAAATTATGATTTAGTGTCTTTGGGTTTTGATGGTCAGACAAAACAAAGACATCACCTTGGCTTTTAGGGAATTACAATGTGGGTGTGTTTTTATTTTACCCAATTCTGTCGTTTGACATATTGCAAAATTAGTTCATTCATTACAAAAACTGATAGATAAATAAGTGGTTTAGGGGGTTTTGTAGCAGCTGAGATGCAACATGTAGATCTGAACTGGAAATAAACACAACTGCAGTTTTATTTAGCTTTTGAAAAAGATGTAAATGACTTATTTACAGTGTTTCCACTGGTCCTTGAAGGTTTGTCAATTTGAGAAAAAAATCAAGAGCTTGAAAGTTTTTGAAAATAGACGAGTCACTGAAAGTGCTTAAATTTATATATCCTGTGCAAATGTTCACTTGGACTCGAGGATGAACGGACTAGATTTTGGTGGTCACTGTGACCTCACAAAACACGCTTTTAGACATAACTCTTGAATTCATGTACCAATTGACACAATTTAACACAAATCTTGAATAGGATAAAATTATGAAGTGATAACACTTTATATTTGAAAGGTCAAAGGTCAACTTCACCGTGACATCATAATGTTCTGCAAAAACACATCTGGTCATTATTCAACACTGTAACTCAGGAAGTGGAGATCATGAGCATATTTCCTGTAACTTGACTGGTTTGGTGTGGAGGAAAACGACCACAAGGAGGCAATTCTAGTTTTACTTAATGTAAGTACATAAGCTGCGTGCTGCTGTCTGCGTGTGTGCAGGAGACCACATAGTCTACCATCACTGTAACACAGCACAGCTGAGAAGCCACTCTCTTTAATTGTCTATGAGCTTCTGTAAATAAAAATTCTTAGTATTGTATCAGAAATTAACATTGATCTGTGTCTCCAACTATGCTGTGTTGGGTCCTTGAATTTAAGGGAAATTGGCCTGGAAAGTCATTGTAAAGTGACTGAATTTAATGTTTAAGAAAGTGTGGAGATCCAGAAACATCTGGCTAGGTCCCCTGAGGCCGATTTGTCTCTTCATGTCATGAGATTTACAAAGTTGACCCCATGGAAATGTATCTGGTATAAGGTCAAAATGTATGAGTACACTGGCAGATTATTAGGTACACTTAGCTAAAACTAATGCAGTCTAATCCAACAGCCCTGCTGTAAATCATTAAGGTTATAATGTGCATTTTGTAATGATGTTGTTTTACTGAGGTGCTGATTCAACCTTTTGGTGATTTTGGAGGATGTAGTTTAGTCTAAATTATTAGAAATTCCTCTTAGTGGGGTTCAATAAAATATAAAGCCTATTTCTCGGCTTTTACTTCAGTTTTTTTTCTATTTTAAATGTTTTTTCAAATGTGATAAAATATTCTTGACCGAATTAAACCCACAGTTAAAGCTGCTTACACAGTTTAGCACAATGTATAAAACACATTAAATGGACACAGTCTGACGCCTCAACATGAACCATGAAGAAACAATACATTATAAAAACATTATACACACAACCTTTTTAATGCGTATCTTCCTCTCGCTGAGCGGTGCTGCAGCTCTTCAATCATCACGATGCCGCACACGCAGAGCGCAGTCACGTGACTTTTCCTCATTGTGCGTCCAGCAGAGAGTTCAGACTCTCAGAGGGCGACAGAGGAAGAGTCGGGCACAAGAGGACACACGACTCAGAGAGAAGACAACACAGAGGACGACAGGACGAGTGTCTCTTCACCACCATGGCCCTGCGGGACGAACTGTTAAAGTCTATATGGCACGCCTTCACAGCGCTGGACGTGGACAAGAGCGGGAAAGTCTCCAAATCTCAGCTCAAGGTAAAAACTTTAACAGCTTTTCTGTTTTTGGGGAATCTGCGCTTTTTTTTTGAGTCGAGCACGAAACTGCCCCACTGGTCTCAACATTTAGTATCTTTAGAAAAACGTTTAAAACATCTCTGCCCCTCCGTGCTGGTAGCGTTTCCTCCTCTGAAGTTGGTAAACAACACAAAAGCGCCTCAGTTTGACTCGCACCTGTTGGCAATAGACACTGATTAATTACACAGAGAACGGCGACATTAAATTCCAGCGTAGTTACAAAGTAAAACATCCAAATAAAAGTTCAAGCCACCGCAGGAGTTACACAGTCAAACCATTAAGGATCTTGAAGTCGCAGGAATATTACTGTGACTTTGTTTGACATGAAAACATCAGCACATGAGGCACAAAAAGTAAATGTATTAAAGTGATGTTAGAAGAGTGTTAAAGTGTTGAAATTATTTTAAAGAAGGAAACAAGTTTTTAAAACCATGAAACAATTAATCATCTGCCCACAGAGCTCATCTGCTGTCATTATTATGCCAACCTCAATGTCAGTAAGTTCTCAGTCTGTAAACATTAAGGGAAGTATTTGTCTATAATTATGTCATACATTTCATGATATTTCACCTTTTAGTCACCTTCAGAAAGGGAAACAGATGTATTGTTCATTGGGGGTGAACTGGGTCAGAATCAATGGAAAGCACAGCTAAGAAACAAAACAAAACTTTTTAAAAGTTTCCCGTAGAAAACTCTTAATATGTATACAACTTTATGACACACCCACATATCTGCAGCTCTGTTCCAGCCAAACATAGTAAATCAGTTTAAAACAATAAAGGACAATAAAGGTTAGGTTTATGAGGTCAGCTGCATCTAAATATAAAGAAAAAAGGCCTGTTTCTACACAAACATTTGAATCAATAGACGAGAATGCAATGCAGCTTAAAAAATATGTTACATTTGTTGAAAGAGGTGAAACTTCCTCTTCTCTGACTGGAAAACTCATCACACTATTTCTACATTATTCTCCTCTATGTCTACATGTAGAAGCACCATGCAACAAGTCGTGCAAAAGACTCCAGGAAATCCAGGAAATCGCCAGCCTAATTGGAAATAAACAAAATATGTAGTCTTACAGATACCAGTGACCAATAATATCATTATATCATATCAAAGTCCAATTACAGGACAAGAGGAGCAGTGTATGAACTTAAAGCTGAAATAATGAGTTGATGAAGAGAAAATTTATCAGCAAATATTTATGAATAATCACCTGATTAATCGATAATGAAAATAATTGTTACTTGCAGCTCCCAGGCTTAATGTTTTATAAAGTCCTAGCAAACCTCTCAGGAAAACATGACACAGACATGGGAGCTCACCTTGCAGAGAGGCTCTAAGAAAAGATACCATTGAGCTGCATTATGGGAAATGTAGGATCCATTGTTTTTGGCCTCAAAGCATACTGGTGCTGCACTCGATGCAGCAGAGGCTGTGATACTGTAAATTTAAGGTTCTTCTTTATCATCCTTTTCCTGTCAAACACAAGCGTTTTTGCAAAAATGCTACATATGCTTATCAAACTCTACATTGACGAACACTCCCAAAAACAGGTGTCTACAGTGTTAACAGTGTTTCACCTCACTGAGCCGAGACTTGTGCAGTGTGAGCTGACGTGGCATCACCCGTTTGCCGGTGTGACTGATATTAGATATTTGCTGCTCTCACAGGGTCATGAGATCAGAATCAACATTTTTGATCAATCAATCAAACATTGAACTTATCTATCAAGAAAAATGACAAATATTCTCTGATTACAGCCTCTCAAATAGGAGGATTTGCTGATTTCATCTAATTGTCAATTGAATATTTTTGGTTTTGGACTATTGGTTGGATTGATTGATCTATTTGAAGACACCCCACTGTGCTCTGGGAAACTGTGATGGACATTTTCTACTGTTTTCTGTCGTTTTATAGACTAAACAATGAAACTATTAATTGAACAAATTGACAGATGATTTAATTTAAGAAAATAATTGTTAGTCAGTCCTTTAATCAGTCATAAACATAAGGTTTTCCCATTATTCCAGGTGCTGTCCCATAACCTATGTACAGTGATGAAGATCCCACATGACCCCGTGGCGCTGGAGGAACACTTTAAAGACGATGATGAGGGTCCCGTCTCCAACCAGGGATACATGCCGTACCTGAACAAGTTCATCCTGGATAAGGTCAGCCATCAACACTGATTCTTACTGATTCTGCTCTAACAGCTGTCGAGCACATCTTTGTATTAAACCTAATTTAGTAGATACATAAAGTGAGTAAATCAGAGTGTAACCCTTCAGAGTTGCCTCACAGGAAGTAACTCTTGTTGCTCTCACATGGCTCCTCTGTGGGGAGTTTTCATGTTTTCCTCATGTTTGTGGATTTTTTAGGCAAAGTGAGTCACCAGTCTGTGCCGTAAGTGACTCTTCATCTCTTTGTATGGAAAATGAGACATGATCAGGAGTACAAAAACACAAACTTGACAGCAGGCGTGAAAAGAGATGCAGCACTGTTTTCATGGGGGTAATTTCCACTTTTGTCCCTTGTCCTTTTTATGGTATTAGTTTGGTTTGCTCACTAAGATTTGTCTGAACAGCCTCCTCAGACTGTCCCACTGCGAGAACCCAGACGAGAGAAGCTCTGAGTTGATAAAAAATGTTGATGTAATCATCTGGCTTTTCTGTAGTAGTTTCCTTGTTCTTACACATGCGCATTTTTACCCTGAGTTTTGCCTCTTAGGCATACTGCCTCACTCTCTGATTGTCGGACGTTGATGATGGTGTAGACAGCCTCAGACAAAGTCCTGCAGATGCTAGTCAGGGCTGAAAAAATGGTCCCAGTCTCATGTTTTTGGAATAATATATAATTTG